GCGGTTTAGTGGTGTAATTTTAATTCACTAAAGTTAAATTAATACTATTATATTGTAAATTATTTTTTAGAAAAGGGGTCAATTCCTCCTAGCAAACTAATGATAGAAAGTCCTCCTATTGCATCAAATGATATACCAGATGATAGACCAAAAGTATCTGAATTGATAGAGTTTTATGAGTCACCAAGCAAAGGACAACTGATACTAACTGGAAAAGTAAAAGGTATAAAGAATGAACATAAATTACACAAAATCCAGCACTAACTGTATGAATGGTATGTATTAATTTAATATTAATAGCAATTGCAATTAATAGATTCGACTTTACAAGAGACATTTAAGACTCTTCCCCCAGCAGCACCTGTACCATCACAAAGTGGACAACATGAACCATTTTCAATAGCAAAAGTGCCTGCACAACATCTACCAATAGCAACTAAATTAAGTCAATCATCACAGCCTCTATCACCAATGGAACCTAAACCAAAAAGTACTGTTAAATGCAAATCGATAAAAATAATTTATTCTTATGCTTATAGATGAAAGCTCACAAGAATCAATGCCCCCACCATTGTCACCTCAAATAGAATCACTCTTTCAGAAGCCTTCGCAATCAACAAATAATACATCAATAAATTTAAAGCCACAAGAAACACCATTACTTTCACAGTTCTTTTCATTACAAGATCAACTACCCCCTATACCACCAAGACGTCAAAGTTTATCTACTGTAAATGCCCAACCATTATCATCACAAGTTAAAATTTCTGCTCCACATTCACCACTGCCACCAAGACGTCAAACTATTACACTACCATTGCCACCTAAACCACGTCGACCAACAATAACTACACAACCTCCTCCAAAAGCACCTAAACCACGTCGACCATCAATAACTAATAAGCCTCCACCAATAGCATCTAAGCCAAGACGATCTCAAGATTCATCATCAGCTCCACATGATCCAACAGCAACAGTACTGCAAGATAAGGAGGGGAAGAAAGATCCATCATCATTAGAACCAATGGAAGGATCAATGTCACCAGAATACATTACAATGAAAGAGATGTTAGCTGATCTTGTTGATCTGTTGGCAGGAAATGCTTCAGTTATTTCTCAATTAAATAATCGCCTATTTTCATCTGATCTCATTCCTAAAGCAGTACATGTTACTGTGGAAAGTACTGCAGGACTCAGTCCTTATGATAGAGCTAATAAAATATTCTCTTCAGTACTAGCAACACTTGAGTGTCATCCTAATCTTAACAGTGTGCTCTCTTCTCTCATTACTTCACTACAGAAAGTAGGACTGAATGACATGGCATTTAAACTATCGACAAAATTAAGTAAGTGTAATCTAAATGTAATTTATTGCATATATATTGTAAAATAAAAACCTGTATCAAAATCAGTTCAAGCCTTTATTAGAAGCCTTATAAGTCTGTGTCCAAATTTCACTGTTCAATCGCTGGCATTTCTTCATGCAGTATACATCCCATTTATGTTTCAAAACTGTTCAGAATCTTTAATTTGAGTCTGTACTTGGAAGGCCTCTGTTTAAAATATACAGTAATGTCCGTAAATTGTTCATTATCATGGTATTGTTTGCTGTTATTATTATTTTTAGGGGATAAAGGAGGTAGCATAGAAGTTGAGCAAATTGAGCCACCATTAGCACCTAAACAACAACGACCATCGCTAACTAAAGAACCTTCATTAGATGAACAATATCCTGACACAAAAAATGATGAGCATGAGTACCAAATACCACACCTGCAGTCAGTGTATGTTGAGTCCCCCTCTAGTAGACCTGCAGTAATACAACTTAGTTCAAAGGCAGAAGTTGCTCGCACAATTGAGTCACTACACCAAGAGCTTACTAGTCTTGTCACTAAAATAAGGAAATATTTTAATGAACTTGTTTCAAGTGGGAAATTAGAAGTAAATGACATACGATATCATGCAGAAGCATACTTGAAACAAGCATTAAATTTATCACTTGTAAACATGGACACTATATTTAATGCTATTAGCCCTCATTATGATTTCTTCAATTTTGGATTACTCAAGAGTTTAGTACATCGTTTCATCCCCTTATCAGATGATGTTCATGCTGAACTAATTCAATACATTAAGAATGTTGATGAGTTCTCAGAATTATCACAATTAAAGCACATACGATCAAAAATCAAAGAGAAACTGTCATCATTACCAGCAGCAGCCTCACCAACCACTAGCAATCAAACAAAAGTTGTCATTGAACTAAATCATAGATGGGAAGAAATGACTTTGCAAAATTTTAAAAGAGTTCTTCAATATTACTTTGGACATAAAGTAACAGATATTTTCTTTATAGTGGACATTGATTTTGGTTCAGTTGTCATTACGCTGTTAATACCAACCTCACTATCACAGTCTATTATTGATACAATCAGTAACAATAAAGAATCAATGAGTAGATTAGGAATATTGGAAGTTGCTGTTAAAATTCCTATCGGAAGAAAAGATGATAACAATTTCAGCACTTCGCTCAATGAATTGTTTAAAGCTGCTGATAGCTTTGAAGAATTTATGCTACTGCAGTTAGGAGCTGATCCTAACAGTAAAGATGAGGGAGAATATGGGGTAATAATTGAACAGAACCTATTGTAATTCTGTTTGTTTGTCTGTACACGTAAGCAAGAGTACTCTTGACGTACATCATGGTGTGATTAGGAGTAGTAGAATTTTATGTTTTGCATTTATTTGGCATTGATTTATGCCCACCAATAGATTGTTTACATAATATCTGGTATTGTCTAAGAAAAATCAACCATGTGTAACATCCCCCATTGAGTTTGACACATGAAACAATTTTACAGGTCAGGGATAAAGGAAATTTGAAAGACGTTAATGACCTTGAAATCATTATAAATGAGAGTTACGTTACCATAGTAGATCTATATACTATATACTGCAACTTTTATAACTGTAGACATTAAAGTAACAACCTGGTTTCATGTCTTCCAGTAGGAATGAAGGACACACTCAATTGCACTTAGTGATTACTAGATATTAATTGGTTACAACCCTCATTAGTGTAGGAGTAGTTTTTTGCTTAATTGTTTGTACATGAACATTAGACCTTGATGAGGGGTAGAACCCCCTTATAGTGTTTAACATTCTTTTAGTAGACAAACACCTATTATACATGTACATGTATATACTGCCTAATTGATACACGAGTTTCTACCAATAAATAACATCTACTGGTGAGGCCACTATAATATCAATTTTTAATCAAAAAACGTGCTTTCAACTTCAGCATCAACATAACATCAGGCCTATAGCACCTTAGCATTCACCTATTAACTCAATGAGGGCTAGTAATTGATAGATCAATAAGGTTTGATACTTATAACGTCACATAATTAAAAGTACAATTATTATCATTTGTGTTTATGATATCTTTGCTTTAGAGAAATCCATTTCAGGATGCTGTTCCATAAATCTACATTAATAGCAATAACACATTAATAAAAATAATTATTATTTTAATAGTCCTAACTTCTTCAATATATCTTGCTTCTTTTGTTCATCAGACGTGGGGAGACCTCTCTGAAGGGGAAAGGAGAGAGAGAGGAGGAGGAGGAGACATAAATGATAAAAGGAGGATGGGGAGATGGTGATAAGTATAGTACAGTGAAATGTTAAGTTTCCAACGATACTAGTACAAACCTCTTTCTGTCTCTGATCATACATCATCTTCTCAACCATACCTCTTGTCTCTGAATCAAGATCAGATAACTAACAACATACACAAATATAATATCAATATTTATCAATTAAAATTTGCTTAATCAGCATGGCTATTATTGTCATTATTTACTTTTGAGTTTTCAGGTTGCACTTTCTTTGTGTTAATCTCAGGATCAGTAGTAACAATTCTTGTCCACCACTCCATTTTATTTTGCTACGAGTTAAAAGTACCATAACCTCATTAATTTCTCTCTCTTATAATGTCAAGACATTGCTCAAGTTTAAGTGTCAGTAAAAGTAAGTGTACATGTACATGTATACACAAAGCAAAGGCTTAACTTGTGTATAGGTACTATAGGATTAAAATTTTATTATTTGGACTCTAAATAGTATACTACAATAATGCTTGTATAACTCAGGATACTGCTTAAAATCTTGAATTCTAAATAGAACATACCAACGCATGTGTTTAAATAAACATTTATTTACATGTACATGTACTAAAAATACATGTACCAGTCAGGGATTCATACAGGATTTTTTGTAGGGAGGACACAACCAAAACGATATTGAGCTAATCAAGCAAAAGTCAGTTTTGCCAGTGCAGGAGTAAACTATTATACACATGATTATTGTATTGTACACATGATGGGGGGGAACTAAAGGCCTTTTCACACTGGCAGTTTTCGAAGCACTTGACCTCATATCAATCCACCTCTGGAGGTGAAGTGAGAGTGACGAGTATCAATTGAAAACCACTCTAGTGTGAACACGATTAATGCGCATTACTTTGGCCAGTGTGAAAAGGCCTTTATAATTAGAGTAGGAGGGATATCCCCCTTTCCCACCCCTGCTCATATGACACCTTGCCAGTGTGTAATGGTCTCTTTTCTCACCTTTTCCAAGTGGACACATATAATCTTCCTGTCCTCCAGAGTCCAGAAACAATCCTCAAGTTTTATCTTATTATAAAGTTCTCCGTTAATTATTGAGTCTTTCCCTTTAACGCCAATCTTCAAATGCTTTTAAAATATTTATTAATTATTTTTATTTATTTATTGTGAGCCAAATTACTTTAGTTTGAAAGTCAACTACAACGTCTCTGCTTTTAATTGGAATATCCAACTGAGTGGGTACTCTTATCTGAGGAGAAAGAGAGAGAGAGGGAGTGAGAGGGGCAAATACAATTAAATTTTATACTGTATGCTCTATTTTTCATGGTTATAAAGCTTATAAACTTTGCAAATAATCTTAAGAATACAAATACAAGTAGTTTTAACTTTCCTTGGATGAGGTGTATCGAACATACATGTACATGTACAATCAAAATAAATAACGTATAAAAAATAATTTTGGTTTTTTTCTTTTTTCATTCACGTTAGCTTTAATAACAAATAATGTACATGCATGTTCATATGATCTATAGTTCACATGTACCTCTACATCTTGAAGTGTTTGTGTCCACTTGTAATGAGGTAGATCAGCTCCATTACCAACATTAGGCTTTATCTTCCCTTTACTGTCTTCATCTTCATCATCATCTGATCCTTTGTCTTCAGTAGCATCTTCAGCTACCTATTAACAATAATATACTTAATATCATGTACATGTGTTTATAAGATGAAGTAGTGGTTGACCAAAGTTTGTGTCATTAGTGCTAACTTCTTCAAAATATTTTGCTTTTGTTCATCAGATGTGTGGAGACCTCTCTGAAGGGGAAAGGAGAGAGAGAGGAGGAGACAAAGAAGGTAAAAGTAGGAAGAGGAGATGGTGATAAGCATAGTATAATAAAATGGTAAATCTCCAATGATACTAGTACAAACCTCTTTCTAATGAATACTTACATTCACTAGAATTTACTTAGACATTCTTAAAATGATTGTACATCAACTAATTACTATGACCTATTACCCTGTACTATATAGACCACCCAGAGTGAGAATTGCAAAAGCTATATCACTCATTGTATATGCAATATCCGCCCACACATCATAATTGGCTAGAGATGGGCAATTCCAGAATTTACAATCAATTCAGTCTGATTCCAAATATTTTTGAGACTGGAATTGATTGAATCGAATATCAATTCCGAGTATTACATCTGCGCATGTGCAAAGCCACATGTTGTGCAAAGTTTGTTGTCTTTGTTGTTTGTCTGTTGTTCATTCGTCAGACTCCACCTACCAATTAATGTACTGGCTACAGTTAATGTTTTCAGTTTTAGGCCAAACCAAAACAAGAATAACTTGTTAAAGTACTGGCAAACTTCTAATAATAATACTGAATGATAATAATAAATATTATTTTTTCATATCAATTATTATTAATTATACCTTATGTGAGCTGCTAACATTTCATCATAAGAAGAGTCTAAAATAACCTGACATGCTGACTCAGCATCTCCCTATTATTCAATTAATTAATGATACATTAATAAACATGTATTACATCACTTACGTTAAATACATGAGAGTCTTTTAAAGCTACCAGCTCCTACGAGAGAGAAAATGAAAGAAAGGATAGGAGGAGAGAGATGAGAACAATGAAGTATTATTATACTACTAACTGATAATAATTCACCATCATATCCTTTAATAGACCTATCAACCTGGTTAATAAATAAATACACAAAATAGAAATTAAAGAACATTACATGCATCAGGAATTGATCCAAAGCCGCCATATTGAGGGTTAAAATGTGATATTAACGAGCCCCTCCCTTTGTATCTATCCAGCCAGCATCTGAGCCAGCATACCGTAATCATAATTTGCTATGGCATCTAAAAGTTTCTCTTCTGAATCTCCTCTCTTCTCTTCTCAGTTGACAACGGGTAATACTCATTGACTACTTTTAGATCTATTGCAATTATGTTTTATTCTGATTTTATAGATGCATTGTATGATGTTGCTGATCTATTGCAGGAAAGTGGTTTCCTTCAGACAAGATGGCATGAGTTGGGACTGACACTAGGACTACACAAGAACACACTGGACGTCATTAAAAGGGACAATGATACAACCTATGATTGTTTAACTGAATGCCTCTCCAAGTGGTTGTCCAGAGCTGATAGTGTTGACAGTAAAGGAGGAGCTACCATTGACTCACTGTCAGATGCTCTTAAATCTATGAATGAGAATGCTGCAGCTGAAAAGTTAAGAGAAGATTGTAAGTAAATTTAATATCACTGAACAAAATTAATTTCACATGCTCCTTATGTAAAAAATTCATAAATCATGGCACTTGACATTATGACAAATTAAATGTTTTAACTAATAGAAGTACCAATGATAATAAATACTAGTCTATGTCTGCTACAATATACACTGTGCTGTGGCAAAAGTTACCCTCATCAATTATCTACTATCCATGCCAGCATGTGTTTGTAGTATCTATGATACCATTAGCCCTTTATTAATTGGCTGCACAATGCAGTTCAATATAATAGCTCCAATTAAACATTGACAGGAATCAATGTTCCCATAGCATTTGTACAAATTCATTCATTAATTTCATTTTATATACACCTTTCTTTTATACATTTCAGTGGACAAACAGTTCAGTTATAATGATGATGAGCCGGGAATAGAATACATCATGTGTGATGTACCAGACTTTCTTGCCGATGCACCAGAAGAAGGTCTTGTTCCAATGACGGTTACTACTGAAGTTATAAGCATTGCTGAAAAGATGAAGAAAGATGCTGAAAAGAAGCTTAAGATAAAGCCAGGCTACACTACCTTCACTCCTTTGTACTATATAAAGAAAGGAGAAACTGATTATTGTATAAGAGTAAGTTTAGTCATTAATGTACATGCATATGCAGTAGCTATAGAACATGCAGTCATTCACCATGCTTGCCGAAGTGGATACTAACGAGTTTGGGTTTCAGGGTTTATGGTACTAAGCAGTTGGCTTGTCACTCTGTCATTGAGACTCACTCAATAATGCACTTGAGACTCAGAGGGAGTCAGCTCCATCATTATTACTATAATTTTTGTTAGGTTAAGGTTGATGATGATCAGTTAATAGATGTCTGTGGTCAATATTGTGCTGGTACTGTCAGGAGAGTTAAAGCAAAGCCTGTTACTGAAGATGGTGATCAGACATTTTTCTAACTTTACTTTTTTTTAATCTGCTCAGTTCATTATACAGCTGCTTCATTAATTATTTTTAGTATTTCGTATTGCTGCTACATATCCGCTGCTTTTTTCATTTTAGTATTTTTATTAAGATACTAAAATTTTCAAGAAATGCTATATATAAACACATATTACATTTATGATAAAAAAATAATAATAAATAATAATAATTATTATTATTTAGTCCTAACTTCTTCAATATACATGTATCTTGCTTCTTTTGTTCAGCACACATGGGAAGACCTCTTTGAAGGGGAAAGGAGAAAGAGAGGTGAAGGACATGTAGAGAATAAAAGGAGGAAGAGAAGAGGGTGATAAGTATAGTATAATAAAGCTAATGATACTAGCATACAAACCTCTTTCTGTCTCTGATCATACATCATCTTCTCAACCATACCTCTTGTCTCTGAATCAAGATCAGATAACTAACAACATACAACATATCAACATAAAGTTTGAGTTGAGCATGCAGTAGATCAATAGCTGGAAACAACTGTGGGTGCATTTTTGTGACCATTTAAATCTGTGGCAAAGCTTGTTCAAAGATCAATATTCACAACATACACATTTAATGATGCTGATACATATTCATGACTTAGTTTGAAATGAAATTTTACAATTCAATTTTATAACATTTCCTCATACTTGGTTATTAGTATTTCCTTGTACTTTCATTGCTAATTAAATGAAGCAAGGACTTATATACTTTATAAAGGTCATACACCTAAATTTTGATTAAATTACAGCATCTTTAGGTATTCAGGGACAGCTGTTGAATACTTACAGAAATCATTACTTATACATTCTTATTATGCTTGTACATGTACATCAACTTTAAAATTTTTTTTAGATATTAAATATCAACATCAGCTCAAACTTTGATATAAAGAGATGTATATGCATAAAAAATAAGAGAATTCTCTCCTAGTCATTTTTGGCAAAATTTGGCCAATGACCTTGTATACAGAAACTTTGACCAGATTTTCGTGCAAATTTAAAAATTCATAAAAAATCCAATTTTGATCAAAATCAACTCAAACTTTCAACATAAGAACATGCATATGCATCAGAAAAAATTATAAAAATTAAAAATCTCTTCCTTTGATTTTTGGTAAAATTTGACTGTGACCCTGTACTACAGTCCAGGGACTTAACTAATTTTAGAGCAAATTTAAAAATTTGCAAAAAATCAAATTTTGATCAAAATCAACTCAATTTCTACAAAACACAAAAACATGTATATGCATCAGAAAAAAAATTATAAAATTAGAGAATTCTCTCCTTTTCATTTTTTAAATATTGGTGCAAAATTTAAAAATTTGTAAAAAATACAAATTTGATCGGAATCAGCTCAAACTTTCTACACAAAATACATTATTTACATATGTACATATTTGTTCAGCAGCTCATTCCAATCTCACCTCTTTTCTTTCCCTAGCTTGACATTACCACCTCACTCCTTAGCAACAGACTCCCACTCCCACTCCCACTCCTACTTTTATCGGGACCCGTTAAGTGGCGTTAACAGTCTGCATCTGTTTCTTTTCTGAATCTCGTCTCTTCTATTCTCAGTTGAATGGGTAATATTCATTGACTATTAGATCTATATATAGCAATTATATTTTTATTCTGTTTTAATAGATAAACTGTTTTATGTTGTTGATCTGTTGGAGAGATGTGGTTTCCCTCAGACAAGATGGTATGAACTGGGACTGACACTAGGACTACACAAAAACACACTGGACGCAATTGAAAGGAATCATCCTGGTGATGCATCTCGATGCTTGCTTGAATGCCTCTCCCAGTGGTTGTCCAGAGCTGATAATGTTGACAGTAAAGGAGAAGCTACCTTTGACTCACTGTCAGATGCTCTTAAATCTATGAATGAGAATGCTGCGGCTGACAAGTTAGATCAAGAGAGTAAGTTAATGTCACTGATTGTATTAGTATGGACTGTGTGTGTGTGTATTCTATAGAATGTCATATATATATAGTGATCAATTTTGTGATGTAATTATGTGCATAATACTAGTGGGTGTTGGTATTAGCATAGATACTATATACCCCTGGATACGAAACTCTTCTATGCACACATATAAAATCCCATAAGGAAACGTCATAAACGTCACATCCGGCTGTCCTCACCCTTGTTTCGCTGCATTCATGGCTGCCAGGGTAAGTAAAACAATCACAGTAGCCTATTCGTTTGTTAAAGTAGCTGAATGATCCCTCAGAAGACTTTGCAAAGCCTTTATATATTGAAATAATGCTCATAAACGATAGTTTGAGTGCATATTATAGTTCTACAATGGATGTCATAGCCTACTTGTTGTGTACATTTCACTCAAGCCACTTTTTTAGCTTAACTCTGTTGAATTAGGCCAACATTCTTTATTGTACTGATAGGTTATTGTTTACTAGTTGTAGTGGGGCTATTATTTAGAGTTTGTGTTAAGTAAAAGAGCTGTTATTTCCTAAATCTTGGTTTTTCAAGCCCCACCTTTCTAGCCAATTTTTCTTTGTAATACTTGACTTAATTGGAACTTTTTCTATATGGTTTTGTAGCTTGAGAATAGGTAGTTGTAGTGGGCCTATTCTCAAAAGGAGTGTATTTTTAGTTTTGGTGCAATTGTGTTGTCAAATTCATCATTTTTAGGTGACAAGAGATGGGAAAGTCATGCATTGGTAGACTGCATTATACTAAAAGAAAAGGAAAGTTTCAGCAATTATAATGCATGATAAATGTCAAGTTTTATTGTATTATTGTACATAAAATCACACTTTTATTAGCAATAATAATAATACTTTTTATCATTGCTTTATTTTTATTCTGAATGAAAACGTAATATGACATATTTCCGGTGAAACAAGCCTCAGAACATCCGGTCGGGCCGTGTTTCATATCCAGGGGTATATAGTATCTATGGTATTAGCGGTTTAGTGGTGTAATTTTTAATTCACTAAAGTTAAATTAATACTATTATATTGTAAATTATTTTTTAGAAAAGGGGTCAATTCCTCCTAGCAAACCAATGATAGAAAGTCCTCCTATTGCATCAAATGATCTACCAAATACACCGAAATTATCTAAATTGATAGAGTTTCATGAGTTATTAATCAAAAGACAACTGGAGGAGTCTCTACCACCACTTGATGTTGATACTATAAGAAAGATGAATGATCATGAAGAAAAATCTTTAAGAACATTTGAAGAGCATTTAATACTAACTGGAAAAGTAAAAGGTATAAAGAATGAACATAAATTACACAAAATATAACAATAAACTAATTTAGTCATCCAGCACTAACTGTATGAATGGTATGTATTAATTTAATATTAATAGCAATTGCAATTAATAGATTCGACTTTACAAGAGACATTTAAGACTCTTCCCCCAGCAGCACCTGTACCATCACAAAGTAGACAACACGAACCATTTTCAATGGCAAAAGTGCCTGCACAACGTCTACCAATAGCACCTAAATTAAGTCGATCATCACAGCCTCTATCACCAATGGAACCTAAACCAAAAAGTACTGTTAAATGCAAATCGATAAAAATAATTTATTTTTATGCTTATAGATGAAAGCTTGCAAGAATCAATGCCCCCACCATTGTCACCTCAAATAGAATCACTCTTTCAGAAGCCTTTGCAATCAACAAATAATACATCAATAAATTTAAAGCCACAAGAAACACCATTACTTTCACAGTACTTTTCATTACAAGATCAACCACCCCCTATACCACCAAGACGTCAAAGTTTATCTACTGTAAATGCCCAACCATTATCACCACAAGTTAAAATTTCTGCTCCACATTCACCACTGCCACCAAGACGTCAAACTACTACACTACCATTGCCACCTAAACCACGTCGACCAACAATAACTGTACAACCTTCACCAATAGCATCTAAGCCAAGACAATCTCAAGATTCATCATCAGCTCCACATGATCCTACAGCAACAGTACTGCAAGATAAGGAGGGGAAGAAAGATCCATCATCATTAGAACCAATGGAAGGATCAATGTCACCAGAATACATTACAATAAAAGAGATGTTAGCTGATCTTGTTGATCTGTTGGCAGGAAATGCTCCAGTTATTTCACGATTAAATAATCATCTCTTTTCTCTTGCTGTCATACCTCAAGATGTACACAATGCTGTTGCTAATTCTTATCCTACTCCAAATGAAAGAGCTACTCGACTCATCAATTCATTATTAACTATCATACAAACTCATTCTAATCCTAACAGTGTGTTCTCTTCTCTCATTACTGCACTACAAAAAGCAGGAGTAAAGAACATGGCATCTAAACTGATGAAAAAATTAGGTAAGTACAATCTGAATATCATTTCTAAAATCTCAGTTCAAGATTTCAATAGAAGCCTTGAGCTTGTTTCCAAATGTCACAGTCCTTGCTGGCATTTTTTATGCAGTATGAATCCCAAAACTGTTTTTTGTGTCTGTACTGGGAGGCATCTGTTTAAAAGATACAGAAACATAAACTATTCATTGTCATGCATGGTTTTGTTGCTATTATTATTATTCTTAGGGGATAAAGGTGGTAGCATAAGAGTTGAGCAAATTGAGCCACCAAAAGCACCTAAACGCTCACCAATGCTAACTACAGAACCTCCACAACTACATTCTGAGAATGTGTATGAAGTACCGCGAATTAAGTCACACCTGCATGATGAGCTTTGCTCTAGTCCCACCGTGATAGAACTTAGTTCAAAGGAAGAAGTTGCTCGGAGTATTGAATCACTGCATGAGCAGTTTACTGGTCTTGCAACTAAAATAAGAACACATTTTGATGAACTTGTTTCCAGTGGGAAATTGAAAGCAAGCGTGGTGGCATTTCATGCAGAAGAATATTTGGGGCAAGATTTAAAGTCATCATCGTCAGAAATCAACATGGATAATTTAAAATTATCACCGCCAGAAATCAACATGGATACTATATTTACTGCTATTAAACCACATTACAACTTCTTTAATGTTGGATTACTCAAGAGTTTAGTACGTTGTTTCATTCCCTCATCAGATGAGCTTCAAATTGAACTAATTCAATACATTGATAGCGTTGATAAATTCTCAGAATCATCACAATTGAAGCACATACGATCAACAATCAAAGGGAAATTGTCATCATTACCAGGAGGAGCCTTACCAACCACTAGCAATCAAACAAAACCAGTCGTTATTAAACTGAATGACAGATGGGATGAAATGACTTTGAAAAATTTTAAAAGAGTTCTTCAATATTACTTTGAGCATAAAATAGCAGATATTTTCACTATAGTGGACATTGACTTAGGCTCAGTTGTCATTACACTGTTAATACCAGCCTCACTATCACAGTCTATTATCGATACTATCAATAAGAAAAAAAAATCAATGAGTAGATTAGGAATATTGGAAGTTGCTGTTGAGATTCCTATCAGAAGAAAAGACGATAACAATTTTGACGCTTCGCTCCATCAATCGGTTAAAGCTGGTGATAGTTTTGAAGTATCAATGCTACTGCAGTTAGGAGCTGATCCTAACAGTAAAGATGAAAGAGGAAAGAGTGCAGTAGAGATAGCTAACGAAGGACGGTATAGCAATGAAGGTGGAAATATTATTATGACACCTAATATTGGCTATGGAATATATTGAATATTAATATTCATTGATGAATATTATTAGACCTATACTACTTATAAATTACACTGCTATATACTTATACTTTATAGCTGTATACATTAAAGTTAACAACTTGTTAGTTTCATGTCTTCTAGTAGGAATGAAGGAGGACACACTCAATTGCACTTGGTGATTATTGGTTAAAGCCCTCATTATAGTGTAGTAGTTGTTACATGAACATTAGAGCTTGATGAGGGGTAGAATCCCTTAGCATTTAACATTCTTTTAGTAGACAAACATTTCATGTATACTGCCTAACTGATACATGAGTTTCTACCAATACACAACATCTGCTGGTGAGGCCACTACACTATATCAATTTTTAATCAAAAATGTTTTTTGCTTTGTGCTAAAACTGAACCAAATTCAACTCCAGTATCAACATGACATCAGGCCTACACCACCTTAACAATCACCTGTTGATTAATGAACACACATCAACCCAATGAGGGCTAGCAATTGATTGATCCATAAAGTTTGATACTTATAACGTCACATAATTAAAAGTACAATTATTATCATTTGTGTTTATGATATCTTTGCTTTAGAGAAATCCATTTCAGGATGCTGTTCCATAAATCTACATTAATAGCAAATAATACATTACTAAAAATAATTACTATTTTAATAGTGCTAACTTCTTCAATATATCTTGCTTCTTTTGTTCATCAGATGTGGGGAGACCTCTCTAAAGGGGAAAGGAGAGAGAGAGAGAGAGAGGAGACAGATGATAAAAGGAGGAAGAGGAGATGGTGGTGATAAGTACAGTGTATAGTATAATAAAATGTAAGTTTCCAATGATACTAGTACAAACCTCTTTCTGTCTCTGATCATACATCATCTTCTCAACCATACCTCTTGTCTCTGAATCAAGATCAGATAACTAACAACATACACAAATATAATATCAATATTTACCAATTAAAATTTGCTTAATCAGCAATGGCTATTATTATCATTATTTACTTTTGAGTTTTCAGGTTGAACTTTCTTAGTGTTAATCTCAGGATCAGTAGTAACAATTCTTGTCCACCACTCCATTTTATTTTGCTACAAGTTAAAATACCATAACCTCATTAATTTCTCTCTCTTATAATGTCAGACATTGCTCAAGTTTAAGTGTCAGTAAAAGTAAGTGTACATGTACATGTATACACAAAGCAAAGGCTTAAATTGTGTATAGGTACTACAGGATTAAAACTTCATTATTTGGGCTCTAAATAGTATACAATAATGCTTGTATAACTCAGGATACTGCTTAAAATCTTGAATTCTAAATAGAACATACCAACGCATGTGTTTAAATAAACATTTATTTACATGTACATGTACTGAAATACATGTACCAGTCAGGGATTCATACAAGATTTTTCGTAGGGAGGACACAACCAAAACGATATTGAGCTAATCAAGCAAAAGTCGGTTTTGCCGGTGCAGGAGTAAACTATTATACACATGATTATTGTATTGTACACATGATGGGGGGAACTAAAGGCCTTTTCACACTGGCAGTTTTCGAAGCACTTGACCTCACATCAATCCACCTCTGGAGGTGAAGTGAGAGTGACGAGTATCAATTGGAAACCACTCTAGTGTGAACACGATTAATGCGCATTACTTTGGCCAGTGTGAAAAGGCCTTTATAATTAGAGTAGGAGGGATATCCCCCTTTCCCACCCCTGCTCATATGACACCTTGCCAGTGTGTAATGGTCTCTTTTCTCACCTTTTCCAAGTGGACACATATAATCTTCCTGTCCTCCAGAGTCCAGAAACAATCCTCAAGTTTTATCTTATTATAAAGTTCTCCGTTAATTATTGAGTCTTTCCCTTTAACGCCAATCTTCAAATGCTTTTAAAATATTTATTAATTATATTTATTTATTTATTGTGAGCCTAATTACTTTAGTTTGAAAGTCAACTACAACGTCTCTGCTTTTAATTGGAATATCCAACTGAGTGGGTACTCTTATCTGAGGAGAAAGAGAGAGAGGGAGGGAGAGAGAGGAGGGGGCAAATACAGTTAAATTTAATACTGTAGAGAACTCTATTTTTTATGGTTATAAAACTTATAAACTTTGCAAGTACAAGTATTGTAGGCTTTTAACTTTCCTTGGATGAGGTGTATCTAACATACATGTACATGTACAATCAAAATAAATAACGTATAAAAAATAATTTTGGTTTTTTCCTTTTTTTCATTCACGTTAGCTTTAATAACAAATAATGTACACGTATGTTTATATGATGTATAGTTCTATGCTACCTCTACATCTTGAAGTGTTTGAGTCCACTTGTAATGAGGTAGATCAGCTCCATTACCAACATTAGGCTTTATCTTCCCTTTACTGTCTTCATCATCATCATCATCTGATCCTTTGTCTTCAGTAGTATCTTCAGCTACCTATTAACAATAATATCATTAATATCATGTACATGTGTTTATAGGTGAAGTAGTGGCTGACCAAAGGTTGTGTCATTATCCTGATTTTTGTGCAACTTTACAAATTTGTAAAAAAATCCTATTCTGATCGGAATCAGCTCAAACTTTCTATGCAACATAAGAACATGTATATGTATCAGGAAAAATTATAAAAAGAGAATTCTCTTCTTTTCATTTTTGGCAAAATTTAGTCAATGACACTGTACTATAGTACAGAAACTTTGGCCTGATTTTTGAGCAATTTTAAAAATTTACAAAAATCGTATTTCGATTAGAATCAGCTTAAATTTTCTACACAACATAAAATCATGTTTTGCAATGTAGCATCAGAATTAATTATAAAAATGAAGATTTCTCACTGACACATTTTAAAGAAATTCGGCTAAGGTGTATGCAAATACATGTACATGACTACATTATTATTAATGTACTACTATCATTAATAATAAATACACTCACTTTATGATTATTATCAACAGCAGGTGGAGGAGGTTGAGCAGGAGGAGGTTGATTAGCTTTTGATATCTGTTCAGCTTCTTCATCAGTGACCTAATGAATATGAAATACCGTCTATCTCAAAATTTTTACTATAACTTTAATTTTACTGGATTAGAATTTTGTAAAAATTAGATCACCCATATAATTACATGCCACATTCAATAATACATGACACAGTCTTATTTAGTAAAAATTAAATCACAACACAATTTTAAAACACAAAAATTTTCTACCACACAAATTTCCTGATCGACGGTATTATCATTCAAGTTTGTCAAGGTTTATTCATTTAAAAGTATATTTATAAAGTGCAGACATACATGTACATGTATACATTGTATTCATCCAAGTTTGTGGTGGTTTATTTTACAGGGCTTTAACTAGACACAAAAGAAAACTGTTAAATATTATGAAGTTTCTGTGAACTGCATAAAAATGCTAAAATGGATCACAGAATCTATTGTATATGATACAACAAAACTTTAGAGGCAATACACAATTGTCACTGAACTCACTATACATGTGCATGATATGCTAGTGGATGTCTTCTCTACACAATACACATTATCAATTAAATTAAAGCACACTGTAACAACTCCCCTCTGTCTCTCTCCGCTGGGCCCTCCCTCACTCCCCTTCATTATACATGTACCATATAGCGAGAAAATTTGTACCATATAGCAGCTAATTTTGGAGGGACTAAAATTTGGTGAATTGCTAAGTTTTGATGATTGACGAATTTTAATTTGGTGAATTTGTGGCCATGTGCCATTAAGCATGCGCATAATGGCTCAAAATGGTGGATTTTATTTTGGCGAACCAAATTTGCCAATTTTAATTCCCTCCAAAATTTCCAGCTATACATGTACATGTACACGTACCTCTACTATTTCCGGTTCTTTTAATGGAGTATGTGTAGAGTCAGTAGCTGCTTTTGTAGCTGGTGGAGGTTGAGCTGGTCCAGTTGGTTTAGGCTCCTTCTTTACTTTAGGCTTAGCATTCTGAACGAAATAAAGATAAATAAAATTTGCCAAATTTCAAACTCCAAAAATCTAATTACATATTATTCTTTTTCTTGTTAAAAATTATGCTGTGGTAAATCAGCAAAATTCAGAATAACACCAATTTTAAATGCATTATTTTAAATAAAACAAGCTGACAAAATTTTCGCATTTCCTGTCATTAAATCTCACACATAAATGGTACATGTACTTCCTCTACTGTAAAACATGTACACAAGTTCAATCACCTGTAACGCTAACTTTTCATGTTTACGAAGGATACTTAGCACCAACTACAAGAAAATTAATGAAGAATATTTAATTAATTATTTAATTAATTATTTAATACCTGCTCCGCCTTCCCTTTCTGAACTCCGGTAAAGAAATCGGTCTTACGTCTCAAAAAACCAAAAAATGTATCCAGCAACTAAACGAAAATTAAACAATATAAACCACGCCTACTAATTAAATATGGCTGCTGTAATTACCTGGGTGATCCCCTCAGTATGTTGCTGAGCTAATCCTAACAGGAGGCCATCAAATCTTGCTTCATCTTCATCACTCATAATCTACTCCTTTCTCTGAGAAAATAACTCGCTCTTTTAAATAAATGACACAGAAAAATGACTAAAGTGAGAATTTGCTTAAAATGCTACACGTGGGTGAGTTCAACTGAGCATGCGCAATAAAGTTATAAACAACAGCTAACTAACCATAATTAATAACTAGCAACACCTTTGTTAACGGCAACTTAACGCCTGTTGATTCAAAATGGCCGCCAGACCCTTTACAATTTCTGTGATGAATCCAGTCGATATCGACATTACAGTCTTTTCCTATTGGCTCAATGGCTACAGTCCATCTGATGCTGCCAAAGAAAGACAGAAGAAGGAGCCGAAGGAATTTCACTGCTTTTTTGGTTTGGATTATTCACAACTTTTGATATCTGAAACTGAGGAGATGTATTCATTGTTTAGATCTATTGAGCCGTATCTTCAGTCCCCACCCACTTTCATTAACCAGAGTGTGTTTCAGGTACATGCGTTGATTGTCGTGAATGTGGTATTGTAATTATTGTTATTTGTACATGTATTACATTTTCCAATTCATATCTTTCCTGTGAATGATTTTGCCGATTTATAATGATATTCATTGGGATACCGTAAATGGAAAATTTTTCAGGCCACCATTGTGGAGGTATACTATCATTAGCTACAATGGACCGACAGGCTAAAAACTGTCAATTCTACTTCTCCACGCCACTCCAGTGGTTCTAAACAGTTGCAGATTACTGAAAAGAAAGATAAAGGTTGCAATTTTTTAACTTTCGAGACTATAACTGCTTGCTCTTCTTACAAAACGGCAGAAAGTGTATCGAGCTCCATTGGAAACAGTGCAGCAATACCTCCACAATGGCGGCCTGTAAAATTTTCTATTTACGGTATCCAAATGAATATCATTATAAATTGGAAACGTCATTCACAGGAAAGATATGAATACACAATGTATGTACACATATTGATGCCCAAAATCACCTCAAATTTTTATTACATTTTCTGATGCATATTGATGTACTTATGCTGTGTAGAAAGTTTGAGGTGATTCCGACTTCATTTTTTCAAGTTACGGCCATTTTAAGAAAATGTCAAAATTCTAAAAAATACCCAAGGCTATAGCCCATAGTTTTTTCAAAAAAATGGCTCCGAAATCACCTCAGATTTTTATTACATTTTCTGATACATATTGATGTCCTTAAGCTGTGTAGAAAGTTTGAGGTGATTCCAACTTTAATTTTTCAAGTTATGGCCATTTTAAGAAAATTTCAAAAATCTGAAAAATTCCCAAGGCTATAGCCAGGCCTGGGGTAATAGTAATATGTAATAGTAATAGTAATAATGGTCAAAGTAATATGTAATCTCAATATTACACAGCTATTACTTGCAGTGTTACACTAATAAGTAACAATAGGAAAATAGCATGTTAGCCAGGAACTATTGCTCAGTACTGAGACTTTTTATGATAAATATAACAAAGCATTCTTAATTCGAAACTATAAAATGGCTTAGATTAACTTCAAAATTAGATTATTTTTACCAGTAACCTATAAAAATCTATGGCGTATTGTAATATTAATTGTAATAGTAATATACTTTGTTGTAATAGTAATAGTAATATAATAGTTAAAATTTTCAAGTAATAGTAATAGTAATAGATTGCATTTAATTGTAATTGACCCCAGGCCTGGCTATAGCCCATGGTTTTTTCAAAAAAATGGCTCCGAAATCACCCTGAATTTTTATTGTATTTTCTGATACATATTGATGTCCTTATGCTGTGTAGAAAGTTTGAACTGATTCCGACTTCAATTTTTCAAGTTACGGCCATTTTAAGAAAATGTCAAAATTTTGAAAAATACCCAAGATTATATAGCCCATGGATTTTTTTTTTTTAATTTTCATTACATTTTCCGATGCATATTGATGTCATTATGCTATTCAGTCAATTCCAATTACTACACATGTATTTTTTAATTGTAGTTAAATCTTATTTTGTATGATATTCTCTTTTCTCTTCATTAGATATCTCCGCCCATCAGGTATAAACTAATTGAGCTATACTACACTTTTGATGAAACTGTCGTTCGTGAATTCCTCGGCAAAAAACTGAGTGGCAAGAACCGTCGTGACCTTGATGACGTGAGCGAAAAAACCAAAGTCTCCCTAAAATCCTGCAAGAGACAGTTTGATAATATTAAACAAGTTCTGAAAGTCGTCGATGACTATGAAGGCTCTCTCGTAGAAAACGTCAAAGTTCATTTTCACCTCCCTGAGGAGTTGAGTCAGAATTATGCGTCGATTGTCTTCCTCTGTCATAATCGTTTCGAGACCGGAAAAAAGAAACTATCACATTGCAGTGTAGGGGATTTCACCAAGTGTGCCAACCTCATGATAGAGCGATGGAGCTCTGGATCTCTAGGCTCTCACAGACAAGTAGACGACGACTTGGAACTCGATAGATATTTCTTACAAGAACTTCACGATATTAAACTCAATCTCATAGACAGGGTTTGGATAGAGTACCATCAAAAACTAGTCTTGAGAGATTTAAAGAGGAAGCACATACCACAGTGGCTGATGCGTTCTGTAGAAAGCAACTTTAAGCATCTTTCCCGTACGCTAACGACCATAGCCTCATCTCTTATTCACAATAAAGATCTAAAGGATTATTTCATTGATATAATGGAGAAGGTTATTGAGCCACTAATGCAGCAGAAATGGTCGACTGAAGACATTGATGTGGTCCTCTCTTCAATAGCTGAGACTTTTAGCGATTGTGAAACAGGTCACCTTAAACATTATGGACGAGCAAAAATCTCCCTCCCCCGCTGGTCTGAAACTTACCTCAGGTTTTTAGACGTTTTTAAACAATGTGTACTAGTACTGTATCACCATTGAACTAAATACATGTACATATGTATATTGATTGATACTACCCCCACTCTCTCTTTCTCCATTTCTTCCCCTTTTGAATAATTACATCCTATCATACGTTATGTCATTCCTGACTTCATGTCTTCTATTCTTTGTTGTTTAATACTTGTATGTACTTGTAGTTCATTCTCTTATTACTTTCTATGAAATATTGCTTCGGCTTTATATTACTCCATCAATCTCTTATTATCATACAGTTATGTCAATCATGCATGATGTCATTGCATTTATATGGTATTGCTTCCAGTGCTTCATTGATGTTGCTTCTTCCTTCTGCTTTGTTGCACTGCTGTCTTCCTATCTAGCCTATAATACTCTATGTTGTGGAGCCTTTTAGTGCTTCACATGCTGTTGCCTTTCTATACTGCTTCATTTCACTCCTATACTCTTGCAGGTCTTCACTGTATAATATGCTGTTTCTGCTTTCTACTGCTTCGTGTCTTCCTTTAACTGGTAGATGCATATTTTGGTTGCAATAATTTAATATGAGTATCCTGACACTACATTCCATGCAATTATATCAGTGTGCATCGTCACTGAATGTGCTTCTTGTGCATGATGTTATCTCATGATTTTGCAATAAGTTATGCCAGGAAAGCACCTTACCTAAGTTCAGGATGTGATGAGTGCACCTTCTGTTGGTATATAAGAGAGAGAGAAAAGAGAGCTAAGATATAGCAGAATCAAACTTTAAGTATTATATTATAACTAGCTATATTACCTGCATTTCTGCAACAGCTTGAGAAAAAGGATGATAATGAAATTCTATATACTAATTGTGCTCTTATGCTCTGCCCTGACTCAAAGCAAACCATTGGCTAAACGCTCAAGCTGCTCTTCTGATGTTGATAGATTATATAATGCTCTTCATGCTACAATGTGTATCACTCATTCAAGGGACTTTCAAGAAAATGTTAACGACTCCATACAGGCGGCTCTTAAACTGATCAATAATGAGAAAGAGCTTAAATCAATCAAGAGAATACTGGAAGGAGCATTAGACCAAGTAAGTTATTATCATTGATAGAGACACTAGAAAGCTTAAACCATTAACATTATGTAATTCACTGATGTATAATCCTGGTTAGACTTTAGCATAAAGTGTGATGCAGTATATATAAGCTTGTAGGTCAGTTATGTCACCATTATACATGTATCCTAGTCTTTTTTGTGGTAGTCTGTGTATGACCACATAGTTTAACCTACAGTATCATGAGGAATTGATGGTGTATATGTATACCCATCTTGTATTTTGTTATCTCATTTAAGACATTTAGCTATGCATGCAATCATTTGTACTGTGACTGGTTCAATAATTACTCAATTATTAATAATAATTCTTTTATATTGCAGGATCAAGTTACTGATGGTATTGCAAGAGCTGAGCACAAGGTCTTTGCTTCTGCTGTTAAAGCTCGAATGAGTCTTGATGATTATGAAAAACCTGGATCATGCTTTACCCCCTGGATCAAATCACTCATTAGTAATAACAGAGACAAGATACCAAAGAATGTAAAAACTAAATGTCATTCATTTAATATAAGAGTTTAAATATTTTTGTCATTGTCCTTTGATTAAAAACATCGATTAAACATTCGTGACAATAACTATTTTCACTTATTATTAAATTATTTTTAATGTTAATTAACCTTTGACTGCAACAATGGCTGCCAGCATGGAAGCTCAAACTTCTTCCATTCCTTCTCCTCCTCCTTCTAGCGATCATTCGTCTTTGTTTGTAAGTAAGTATTAGACAGAAAACTGATGATTGATTATAAGGAATATCCTGCAATGAAAACGACACTCACATAATGCATGAACTGATGGTCATGGCCTGATGATACTACTACTATTGGCTGTGTTTAATGGAGAGAAAGAGAGAGAGAGGAAGAAGAGAAGAGAGGATTAACAGCTTTCTAGTTGTACTATTTGTCCCATAATTTAAATTATTGGCATTTTATACACGTGACGTAATCAGAGTCGATGAACAAGACTATAGCACTGTGTACCTTGTAGTAGGTAATTTTTGGAGAGATATGTTTTGGCAATTTTAATAGCCATTTCCTAAGTTAAAGCCCACCACTTGGTACCATTATGTACATGCTCAATGGCACATGGAGTGGACACAGATTTGCCAAATTAAACCCACCAATCACCAAAAATTGTAGCAATTTGCCAAAATTTTGCCCCCCTAAACTTACCTGTTCTACTGTATATTCTAATGCACATGTACATTCAGGCATATGTGATTTATAATGACAAAGTGCTACTATTTTTTATTATCAACAGGTAGAGGCAGTACTGGGTTGAAGCTATGGAAAGTAGGAGAGAAAGATCCATTAAGAATAATCAGGTAATTATGTTCACTGATGCCACTAGAACTAGGGGGAAGGAAGCGCAAGTTAAGATTGGAAGTGGAACTAATTTATTAAATTAGTTTATCAATGAAAACTAATAATTATTATAATATTACTGTATAGTGGATGTGTGGAGTATATTATAATTAGTTGTTTTATGTACATTCATTCTAGTTCCGATGGTAATATCCGGTCTATTGCCTGGTCACCAAACGGGGAGAAATTAGCATATTCAAGCAGAGAAGGGTAATTGAATTAATGATCATTATTATCACAAGTACATGTATTACTTCCTTTCTTGTTAAAGAATTAGTTCCAAGTCACAATTTCAAGGATCATAGACTGTTCCCTACCATACACCATGCATAGCTCAGTTTATGGAAAATACTCTGTACTGTAGCCCATGGTTTTTTCTGAGAAATGGCCCCCATAATCACCCCAAATTTTATTACATTTTCTAATACATATTGATGTACTTATACTATGTAGAAAGTTTGAGCTGACTCCGACTAAAAAATTTTTGAGTTACAGTGTACATGTGTACCAGCATTCTACTACAACTACAACTACATGTGTAGCTTCTATTAATTATTATTAATTATTCCTCGTAGGTCAGTCGTATGTGATATGCCAGGTGGTAGTGTCCTCCATACTTTAGAGTATCCAGCCACTAACATTGCCTTCTCTCCCCTTGGGACGTTCCTCCTCCTATGGGAACCATATGCTGTGGCACGTGGGGAGACTGGGAAACCAAACCTTCACGTATGGAGCATGAGAGACAAAGAAATAATAATTGAATATTATCAGAAGAGACTTGACAACTGGTAAGCTACATGTACGCATACATTGTACATGTACATGTACATGCGTATAGCTTGAAATATTAATTTTGCTGGAGTACATGTACATTGTACATGAATTTGACAATTTGTTAAAATTTGCAATTGACATTTTACAATGTACATGTACATGTATATCCGGGATTTAGGCAAGTTCCATTAAGTATGTGAAGAATGAATGTAGTGGATTTTATTATTGTGGATGTGGATGTTCATTTTAACCAACAATTTGCCAATATTGATCCCCCACCAATACAGTATTTCTAGCTACATATACATGTACATGTATATGGTATGTTGTTGTTGTTGTTGTTGTTGTTGTTTACAGGTTAATACAGTGGAGTAAGGATGAAAGTGTTTGTGCCAGAAATGTAACAAATGAAGTTCATTTCTTTGAAGGATGTCCGGGTATATATTTATTATTATTACTATTATTATTATCATCATTATTATCATCATTATTATTATTGTTATTATTATTGTTATTATTGTTATTATTGTTGTTGTTATTAATGTAGGTAAGTCTCCAGGACATAGACTAGTTATTGATCAGTTGAGTAGTTTCTCCTTATCTCCATCACTACCATTACACGTATCAGTACATGTGAAAGGAAGCAAGGTACACATGTATACTTGTACATGTACATGTAGATACATACTTATGTACTATGTCCTGGAAAGGAAGTGGAAACAGTTGCAAGGAATTTGAAAAATGTAGCCACGTCACCTTAGCTTTGGTATGCCATTGGGTTTATAGGGAGGACCCGGTTCTCAGGGTTCCCAAGGGCTGAGAGACTCAATACCTGAGATCCTGTGATGGCACTGGGCGACTAAGAACCTGTGAAAGTCTCATCCTTATCCCACATTCCTATAAAAAGTTATTCCAGTTTTTCTTGGTCCAAACTCAGTTGGGACATGGGTAGTACATGTACAATATAGAATGTACATGTATAATGTTAGCTTAAATTACTGCTCAAAGGAAATTTTTGTTTAGCAGACATTCTTACTTTAATTTGACCAATTAGATTGCCAAATTGGAAGTTTCTTAATGACTCCTAACTCTTTCTTGAGAACTATTTAGGAGCCTTTTTGTAGCCACCTGGTAATTGAATAACCCTCTTTCTAAAGTGTCCATTATATACAGTAATGATGTATGTAATACTGTAACAGTGAACTATTTTATTGCCTTTATTATTTAATTTTAAAATTATTACGTAATTTCAATTTTACAGTTTACACATGAATTAATAGAACTAATAAAACATTAACTGGTTTTTAATTTTACTATTTCTTTTATCATAAAATTACACTAGTCTCCTTGAAATATTCCACTTTTAGAGTTGTATTTCAATCCACATTAGGTTACATGTTCCTGATCTAGTACTTTTACTGTCCCTTTATAATGAGATAACCACCACTATCATAGGCTATACAGTACAGGCACATCTGTACGTATGTGTAGGAAAATGAAACTTTATACTTCTTGGAAATATTATCTCTTAATTAATGAGAATCCCCTATGATAATGCATGTACATACACAATATGATGTACATGTACATGTGTACAGAGATTTCCTTTAGTCGTTATAGTACATGTATACAATGTACCTTACCACACATGTACATGTACATGTATGTGTACATACAACTGTATCTAAGATCATACATGTACATATGTACACAGCCTTAAGGTAGTTATACATGTATGGGTCATTACTGGTGACTGTGAAGCATATTACCTAAAAGTACATGTTTGTATTTTAATGCCAACCCACTAGAGCATTGTGAGGTTTATTGTACCAGTATAAACCAACTGTTCATAATTAGCTTACACTACTGGAGGTTACACTTTCTTGTTGATCATATTATACATGTACACATTCACAATATAATATAATATACATGTATAAGTGTACTGGAGATTTCCTTAAGTCATGCAGTATTCTTCATGTATACATATAATCATACATATACAGTATTTCCTCTAATAGGGGCCCTACTCAAATAAGCGCCTATCACTATTATATTACCAGTATAGATACACATATTTAACCCAGTGTTATGTCCACTTGTGTTTAGAGTGGTCCAAATAGCCTAAAAAAGAATAATTCAGCCTCAGTCTTCAGAACATAAAGTTGTGGGTTAGAGCCCGGGTTTTGGCACTTTTAGATTTTACTTTTTATTTTATTTTTGCCTCTGCTAAGCCATAAATGCCTGGGCCCTTATTCAAGGAAATACAGTTCATGTAGACCTCATGTTGGGAGCTTTAAAGTGGTTATGGACCATGTACTTTCACCAGTAACCATGGCATTACCTAATCCGACAGATCATCAATCATACCTGACCAGTAGCTACAAACCTACTATGTCTTCTGATTTAATTTGTGTATTGTTTACATCCTGTTCCTGTATTACTGTCTTGTGTAGGGTGCTCCTTCTGTTGTGAGGATTTATAAGTATCCAGTCTTTACTGGCTCTGGCTCTGTCATTGCTAATAAGAGCTTTTATAAAGCTGACACTGTACAGATGAAGTGGGACCATGAAGGTATGAGACATGTACATGTATAATACGCTCCATGTACAATTTACATGTACCATGAATTCATAATACATGTACATGTAGTTTAATTGTTAAAGTCAAATTTTGGTAAATTTTACTGTATTTGCAAATTTTTTATTTTTTAATTTGACAAATTTACATGTGCCATTGAGCATGCTTGTAATCGTTCATAATGATGATTTTAATTTTGATCAATATGTTGAAAATACTAAAATCTAAAATGTCTAAAAGTACCAGCTATATAATACATGTTTGTACATGTACGTGTACATGTACATCTTACATATAAAATGCTCTGGTACTTGATGATCCATTCAATCCATACACTGTACTTTCCTTTATTAATTCCTTCTTCACTATGATTCTACTGTTAATCTAGTTCCGTCTCATCTATACATTTCGTCATTTTATTTGCCCATACACACTTTAATTACTGTCATTGATTTGTTGACACTCATCCATTAAGCTTTCATTCATGTACATGCGTACATCTATACATGTACACTCATCCATATTGCTTCCATTGATTTCTTGATATGTGACACGTGCATTGCTTTAGCTTTCATTCATCTTTTAAGTTTTCATTTGTATACATGTACACACGACTACATGTACACATGACTACATGTACACATGACTACATGTACACATGTATGTTAATCAGATTAACTTTTCCTTCCTGTGCATGTACACACTCCATTCACATTCATTCAATCATACATGTACATTGTATATCTTCAGTGATCCATGTACACATACACATGTCCATTAGGTAAAGGAGTGTTGGTATTAACTACAACTGATGTTGATAAATCTGGTGAGTCCTACTATGGGGAGCAACACTTGTACTACCTGACTGTGAAAGGAGATGGGTCTATGGTTCCACTAGGTACTGTATTAAATACATGTATTATTATTATTGTTTTACCATGCTTTAAGTTCACTGTTAACAGTACGGTATTAAAATCATTATGTGTATTATGCTTCAAGTTCACTTTTAATTGTTTTTACTAATATTTTATTTAGTGAATTTAGTATTAATTTGGAAGCATTTTAAAACTCTAAACTAAAGTGGCGTACATGTATAGTTTCATACTTATAGTTGTTTTTTAAAATTGATAAAGACAAACCTCCATTATACTGAATACTAAAATGTCATTATTATTTACAGCAAAAAAAGTGGACTTTTATAATTAATATTCTCATTTATTTATTATTATTTATTATTATTAGATAAAAAAGGCCCAGTCTACAGTGTTGAATGGTCCCCAACTGCTACTGAGTTCTGTGTCATTTATGGATGTATCCTTCAATATATAATGTACCTTCTGCCCTATAGCAGGAAATTTTGGAGGGAATTTAATTTGGCAAATTTAGCATTTTGATAGCCATTCGCCAAAAGTAAGAATCCACCATTTTGAGCCATTATACGCATGCTCAATGGCACTTCACCACAAATTCGCCAAATTAAAATCTACCAATCATCAAAATTTAGCAATTTGCCAAATTTAATTTCCTCCAACATTTCCCGCTATACGGTAGCGTGTAATTTTAAAAGGGGAAATTTTGCCGAATTTAATGTTTTGATGGACATTCACCGAAGTTACATGTCAACCAACCAATCGATCATCAAAGTGTTTAGCAATTTGCCTAAATTTTACCCTCCCAAAATTTCCACCTGTGCATGGAAAGTTTTACGATATAGTACATGTAATACATGTACTATATTAGTGTATCATGTAATATTAGTATTAGTATATTAGTATTGTATATTAGTACACATCAATACTACATACATGTACATGTAATACATGTACATGTATGTAGTATAGTACTAGTATTTTGTATTTTTTATTTTGTTATTTGAGACATATTACACTCAAAGCCTTGGGAAATTGATTCGTTATCGTCACTAATTTAAAGCAAATTTTTTATAGTGAGAAATAAATTAATGCATGTACATGTACATGTACACATGTTTCCGGTGATGATATTAAATTACGTGTTTTGTAAAATATCTAACGTTGTTATTGTTTCCTTAATGTTGTTGTTGTTGTTGTTGTTGTTTAAAGTTATGCCATCAAAGGCGGCTTTGTTTAATAGCAAATGTGATCTGATCTTTGACTTTGGGATAACTCACAGGAACACAGCACTCTACAATAAATATGGTAATAATAATAATAATAATAATAATAATAATAATAATAATAATAATAATAATAATAATAATAATAATAATAATAATACATGTATGTTAAAAATAAATGTACTGGAAAATATTAACTAGAGTTATTGTATTGGCTGATTCTATTTTAAAGAAACAGAATCCACTCTTGATATTATATCGGGTTACTTAGTACATGTACTATCATTCCCCACTAATAATATTTCCAATTGTGTTTGGATGATTTATATGTGGACATGATGATGGTCTTAGTTAAACCTCTCTCTCTCTCTCTTTGTAGGTTCTCTGATCTTCCTGGCTGGTTTTGGTAATTTAAGAGGTAACATGGAGTTTTGGAACAACGAGAAGCGAACACTGATAGGGAAAGGACAAGTAAGAACACTCTCACTTTAACCATACCATTTTGTACTCTTGCTTTAAGCCTTTAACCCAATAATAACTGCATGAGTAGTTACAGCATGATTGATGTTACATGTTATTGGGTGAGGTGTAGTACCTGTACCTGTACATGTACACAATGTAGTTCTGTTTATATGTACATGTACTGAGGAATATCTCACATTTGCGTAACGTACACGTACATTTTTGAGCATCAGTGTACATCACACATTTGTACCTGTACATCAGGACGTGATGAAAGGATAGTGTCTATTCTTAATGTTTTACATTCTTCTAGTATTACCGTATAGGGGGTATATTTCCTGGGGAAAATATTTCACAAAAATCACCTTTCAACCTATTCACAAGAAAAAATTTTTGCGTTTTTCTTCTACTGACCATTATTAGTATGGTAAAAAAAACAATTTTCATAGGTAAAAATTTTCACGAATTTTTTAAAACCGTGAAATTAGCGAAATTAAATCCCCGTGAAATATACCACCTATACGGTATTATCATTATTATTATTATTATTATTATTATTATTATTATTATTATTATTATTATTATTATTATTATTATTATTATTATTATTATTATTATTATTATTATTATTATTATTATTATTATTATTATTATTATTATTATTATTATTATTATTATTATTATTATTATTATTATTATTATTATTATTATTATTATTATTATTATTATTATTATTATTATTATTATTATTATTA